GTGTGTTCCCACAGCGACCAAAATCCCCTCTCAGACCCTCTCAAAGGGTGTTTTGTGCTTTTAGCAGTTGGATCTCACACATTTGATGTGCCCAAGGTACAGCCACTGCCAGAATGAGATGAAAATATGAAAATAAAGCACCTCTTTATGGGATGTAACTTGGAGATGTCAGTGACAAAGCAACCCTAGCCTAGGCTCACATATCTTCACTTCAAGATGTGGAAAACCAAAACTAAATATCCACTTAAGTTAAGGAGCTGTCCATGCAACATTTGGAGAAATTTTAACTGCTGCAACCAATACTTCTGTGTGCATTATCCTTGAGGAAATCCATGGTTACACTCCTACAGAGCCTTTAACACAAACCCCTGCACAGATTTGCTCAAAGCCCCCTGCCAGAGCTGTGGTGATAGCAGAAAAAGCAGCACCTATGAACGCATAACCCTGAAAACAGCCCTTGTACCACTGAGTTACACAAAAAACAAAACAGAATCCACATTATTAGAGAGGAGATCTGAGAGATGTTTTAAAATACTGTGTACATATCCATAATGTGTAATTTTTACAGTTACTCGTTGACAAGCGCTTTTATAAAGGTATGAAGCATAAATAAAAGTGTCAATAAAAGTGCAAATAAAAGCAAGCAGCCACTTCAAAGCTCCAAGGTGAAAAGGAATGATGCTAAAAGCAAATCCTAGAGCACAAACCAGGCACCAGAGCAGGAGAAAGGCACAGGGAGAAGCAGCAGCCCTGGTTCAGAGCAACAGAAAGTGCCAAGAGCCGTCACCTCGAGCCTCAGGTCACAGCAGCACATGACACACTTCCAACTGCAACTTAATCCTTGCATTTCTCCATGGAGCACCACTGGGAACAGACACCACGCTCCTCGTTGCCATCTGTGCTTCAGAGCTCCAGGTTTAAAAAATCTGGTGCATGGAGACAGGCTAAGCCAGGGTGTTCCCAACACTTCCAAGTAATTTTGAATCCAGGAGAAAATTCCTCTGGGCTATTAATGGAAACCTCACATGTGCCACGGCACGTGGGTAAAAGGATCTTTGGATTTCTCCCTCTGCTGTACAGGAACTCAGGGGATCCTCAGAGCCTTGGGTGATTCTCTTCACTTCCACAGAGCTGTCAGCATCTGCTCCTTTCTTTTCTAAGCTTTGGGATCAAAATCCACCAGAAACAACTGGTGGGGTTTTTCCCCCACCTGAAATCCCTCCCTGGCAGAAAGAAAACCACATTTAAAAATCCCAACCCAGCACAGGGATGCACATTCAGGGATTTAACATCTGCTCAGCTCCCTGCTGAAACACTGAACAGCTCCAGCCACACAGGAGGCTGAAAGTGCTGGATTCCTGTTGGATTCCCTGCTGGATTCCCTGCTGGATTCATTGCTGGATTCATTGCTGGATTCCCTCCTGGATCCCCTGCTATCTCAGCAATACGGACTTGGCAAGAAAACTGTGGTTCTGACAGAGGCATCAACTCACACTTGGGAATCTCATGGAATTCCTGAGGCTGGAAAAGCCCTCCCAGCCCATGGAGTCCCAGCTGTGCCCGATGCCCACCTTGTCCCCAGCCCAGAGCCCTGAGTGCCACGTCCAGCCCTTCCTTGGGCACCTGCAGGGATGCAGGGATGGGCACTGCAAAGCTCCCTGGGCAGCCCCTGCCAAGGCCTGAGCTCCCTTTCCAGGAAGAAAATTCCTTCTGAGAAGGAAGAAGCACCTCCTCTGACCATCAGACAATGCTGAGGAAGGACAGAAAAAACCTCAGTGCCACCCACAGTGCTATGATCACTAATAAACATCCTTTTCTTTGCTTGTGAACCAAATCATTCTGTGTGCACAGAAATCAATCCTTGCCTGTGTAACACAACAGCTCCACCCGTCATTTCACTGCTGTGAACCACTGGGAATTCTGAGAACATCACAGGAATCATGCTGATATTCTCTGGATCACTGCTTGGGGGAGGCTTTCAGCAAGGCTGGAAGGTCCACAGGACTGGGAATTGCAACAGGTATAGGAAGGGCTGGAAGATGGGAACTGGAACAAATAGGTCTTGGCTCTCATATCTCCCATCCCTCAGCAAAAGGTGAGCAAGCATGCTACAAGGAATTCATGGAAAAGTTACCTCAGAGCAGACAGCACCAGCTGAGCACAGAATTCCAGACTGGTCCGGGTTGGAAGGGACCCTAAAGACCAGCCAGGGACACTTCCCACCAAGAGCAGGATGCTCCAAGCCCCATCCAGCCTGGCCTTCCTCATGCCAGGCACTGAAACAGGGGCACAAAACCAGATTCAAGACCAGGAGAACAGTGGTTTAAGGCCATCAGTTTTGTAGTTTCCTCCAGAGCAATCCAGCAACTCCCTAATTCCTAATGAACTCATCAGGAAATATTTAAGTCCGTTTGTCCCTTTACACTTCATTCATCAATGCACCACTTTAATTAGCTCATAATTAATTGAGGTTCAGTAAGAGCTGAACACTCCCTTTGCCAATCCAGCTGCTTTGCTCCCTCAGCCAAACATATTTCGTTACTAAGTGGGTTTTGTTTTGTAATTTCCTTTTTTCTGCCAAGACCAAGAGCAGCCAAATACAACCCAAACCTTCAACTTCTTCCAGCTGGGCATATCTGAAACTAAACTGTCCTGAGAACAGCATCTCCTGCACCAGCAAATATTGAAGAATAAAACAGTTTATCTCTCAAAAATGACAGGCAGCTTCAGGACTTTCAGTTTTCCAAGCAAACCTGAACTGTCCCATCCCTAGCAGATCCTAAGGTGTGCACAAATCCCAAACCCCTGCAGAGTTTAGGGGTTTCCTTATCTTAGGAACTTATTGCTTGCACATAATAAATTTTTGTTGTGTTACCCATCATCACTACAGTAATTAATGCATTTGAGTTAAAAACACAGTTTATCCTGCATTAAGCAATTTCTTGGGAACAACACTGACATTTTCATGGAATTCCTGAGGCTGGAAAAGCCCTCGCAGCCCAGGGAGTCCCAGCTGTGCCCGATGCCCACCTTGTCCCCAGCCCAGAGCCCTGAGTGCCACGTCCAGCCCTTCCTTGGGCACCTGCAGGAGCCCCTGCCAAGGCCTGAGCTCCCTTTCCATGGGCAAATTCCTGCTGAAACCTCCTGAAATTTCTCCTCCCAGCTACACAATCCCAGGTCCACAACTGTGCAATGAACCACATCAAGTGACTGATACAAATTAAAAACCACTCTTAAAATATTAACCTGGATCGCTTCCCCAAGCTGCTTCATTGTTCAGCTGGACAAAAATATTGCCAGAGCAACAGGAGGAGATAAATTCCAGCATGGGAATGAATTCCCAGGCCCTCCCAGAGCCTCTGAATCCATGGAAATACTTTATATTCTCAAAGAACTAAGAGCATCAGCTCTCCCCCCCAAGGCTCTGCATTACAAACCCTTTTACAAACCTGGTCAAAACTGCATCAGCTGCTTCACCTGAGCAAAAAAAAAAAAAACCCTCAAAAAAACCAAACCAAAACCAAGAAAAACCTTACAAAACCCACAGCTTTCACTGGAAAGCCACTGAATGCAAACTCTCAGTTGTGCCTGCAAGAGACAAAACCAAAGAGCAGCCTAAAAATAATTCAGAAAGTTACCAAGTAAAACTTGTTTTGCTTGTGCCTCTCAGAGTTCAGCTTGGCAAAGTGATTTAAACCTGAGAATGATTTTAAACTCTGAACTGCCAGATGCAAAGGCTGATTTTTGACACTTTTACCTCTCAAGAAGACCAATAACACATCCAGAAAGTAATAATAAAGCCAAATCTTTATCTAAAGAAGCAAGACAACCCTGCTGCGATAAAATATCACACAATCTGCAGATCTCAAACACTTGCAAGAATTAAAGGCCTGAAATCAAAATCAAAATGCAATTTTGGAACTTCAGGGTGACAGTATTTAGGGCTCATCTCTAGAATCATGGCAACTTTTATTAGGGTAATATAAATTCACATCAAGGTAACAGAAATTGCTATTAGGGTAACATAAATCGATACTAGGTGATAAAATTTCAGACAGAGGTTGGATTCAATGATCTCACAGGTCTTTCCCATCCTAAATAATTTTGTAATTCCAGCAGTGCTGAGCAAATCCAAAACCACCTTTTTCACTCAAATATTTGACATATTTGAAATATTTTGACTCATCGCAGTACTTCTGCTTCTTTCCACTTTATAAACAAGGTGATGAGCCAGGTGTAGCTCTAGGTGAGGTTTAGGGGCACTGACTTGGAAAAAACCCTCCCGTTTCACCTGAAAAAACCGCTTTAACTTAATTTATATCACCACAAATAAACGACCGATTGCCACAACAGCTCAGCAACAGTACTGCAACTGAAAAGCACAACATAGCAGCGTTTAACTGCGTGAACACTCAACCCCCTCAGATGCAATTAGGGTTAAAATGTAATTAGGCCGCTCGCAATAAAAGTAGTTAAGGTTTGAAGTTACAAGTTGGCAATTAGAGGTCACGGCGCTGACCAGAGGCTGGGAAATCCCGAGCCCACCCCCAGCCCTCACCTTCCCCTCGGCACACCCGGCCGGACCGAGAGAAGTTCATTTTCCAAGATGTGAGGCGGGATAAGGGCGGGAGAGCCCCCGGCCTCACGTCCCCCCGGAAAGACGAGGCGGCGCTCCCCGCCCTCGCTGAGGGAGTGACCCTGGAAGTGTCCAAGGCCAGCCTGGACGGGTCTCCGAGCAGCCTGGGATATGGCGGAAGGTGTCCCTGCCCATGGCAGCAGGTCGGAACGAGGCGGTCCCTCGGGTCCGTTCCCCCGGGCGGCCGAGGCCCCGCCGCCCCCTCAGACTCACCGCGCTCAGGCGGATTCCGCCCTGTGTTTTCGCCGCCATCTTCGGGCCGCGGCCCCGCGCGCGCTTCCGCCTCCCCGCGGCCCTTTCGCGCTTCCGGCACCGGGCGCGCGCGTAGGGGCGGGGCTTGGGTGAAACCACGCCCCCTCCGCTGTGGGCGGGGCCGGGGCTGAGGGAGCTGTGAGGGGATGGCTCCGAGTGGAAAAGGGCTTCGAAATCGCCCCGTGCGGTCTGTGCCATATCCTCGACTTGTCACCCTGCCCAGAGTGCCACGTCCAGCCCTTCCTGGGACACCTCCAGGGATGGGCACTCCAAACCTCCCTGCCAAGGCCTGAGCTCCTTTTCCATGGGCAAATTCCTGCTGCTGTCCAGCCTGAGGCCTGAGCTCTCCTCCTGTCCCTGTTCCCTGGCAGCAGAGCCCGACCCCCCCGGCTGTCCCCTCCTGCCAGGGACTTGTGCAGAGC